TCACAGGTTTGGGCAAGAAGAAATTGCCAAAAACCACCAGTTTTATGGGGTCAGAGCTTATTTTTGCAAGGATGTTTCTGCCTCCAGTGCCACGAAGCAGGGAAGGGATTCGGGGGCTCAGGGACACCCCAAATCCCCCCGGGCACCAGGGCCATCACCCCACAGCCCTCAAATTCTGCAGCTTTTCAGCTTCAGCTTTCGCGCCCGGTGCTAAATTTCAATATAATTATCAATAATAAATCAATTAAAAAAATAATCCACGGGAAATAAATGAAGATGGGGTGGGGGAGTGGGGACAACCCCTCTAAAACCCGCCCCCGAAGTGCTGGGGGTGCCGCTGCTGAAGGGGTCATTGTGTGCCGAGGGGGGGCTGGCACCGTAATGAGTAATTAGTGCCCGGCAGTAATTAGTAATTAGCCACCTGGGACGCAGCTGGTGCGGCAGGAGCCGTGTCAGGGTGTCCCAGTGCCTCCCAGTAGCTCCCAGTCTGTGGGGGGGGTCCATGGGGTGGGTGGAGCACAGGGGGGCGCGAAACGGAGCCTGGAGAGGGGGAGGTGGCTCCCCAAACGCCCCCAAAGCATCCCCAAACCCACAGCCTCATCCCTGACAAATGACCCCAAAATCGACCTTCCCAGCCCCAAAACTTGTCGGTGGGGCTCCCCAGCCCCCCAGAATTTGGGCAGCTGCCCCTATATGGGAAGGGAGAGGGAAATCCCGCGGCAGCACAGGGTGCTGCAATGCAGATCCCCGCGCAGGGCACCCCGAGGTGACTCCTCACCCGCCGTGAAGCCCTAAAATCCTCCGGGGAGGCGACGTTTGGGGCTCTGACGGCTCAGGATTTTGGGATGGGAGACGTTTAAATCCCTTTGGGGGTTTTGCTGAGGTTTCCCCCCCCAGGGAAGGATTTGGGGTGGAGAGGATGAGCAGATCCGAGCGCCGCTGCGGGCACCCATGGGTGCGCACCCCATATCCCACCCCCGCTTGCACCGAGGTTCCCCCGACCCCCATAGGGATTTTGGGGAGCACCTAAGGGCGAGCAGAGCCCGCACATCCCAGGACACAAACTTGAAGGGTTTTGGGGTAAGGGGCACGCTGTAAAAAGGGTTAACAGCTCCAGTGGGACCAGCCCCAGGCGGAGGACGCTGGTCCCAGTACGCGCTTCGTACTGGGATGGATGCTGCCCTGGGATGCTCGAGCTACGGGGGAGGGATAAAGTTTGAGGACCGGGGCTCTGCCTGCTCCCAGCCACCAAAAACCCCAAAATAAAAAAGTGGAAACCTCCAGCCTCACCAGCACCAAATTCAGAAGGTTTTTAGGGAAAAGCTGACCTCTGCTCATCCCATATCCCCCCAGCACAGCCAGGGGGCAGGTGGGCAGCAGTTTCGGGGCCAGCAGCCCCCCATAATAAAACAAATCCTTTATTCCTGCCCCCCCCTTAACCCAAAGGTGCCCACAGGGATTTGGGGCAGGGTTTCCCCTCCCCATGGGTTTCAGCCGAGCGAAAAAAAAAAAAGGAACCGTGCAGAAACCCTTTAGGAACAGCACTTGGTGGCTGCTTTGGCCGCACAAGGGGGGATTTTTGGGCCCCCCCAATGGGTCCAAGCTTGGCCCCCTCAGACCCCATTAGGGCTTGGGGACCAAATAAACCTTAATGAGACCGCGGTGCGGAAGCAAAACGATCCCATAAACGGTGCCAAGAGCAGTGGGGGGGTGGCAGCCCCCCAGCAGAAGCACGTCCGGCTGGGATTTTCCACCTCCATCCCCAAAAAAATATATAAAAAAAAAGAAAAAAGCCCAAATCCCACAGTTCCTACCCATTTTCCCAGCCGGTTACCGCAGAGTTTCTCATAACCTACTTTCCCCCCCCTCCTCTCCTGCCCTATATTCCTGCTGCGGATGAAGCCGGGGGGGGGCTCCAGCCCACTTTGGGGACAAGAGGGGGGGCAATCAATACCCCCCCCCTTTTATAATTACTTTTTCCTTTTTTTTTTCCTTTTTTCCCCGCTTTTCCAAGAAGCACAGCACACCGAACCAGCCCCCAAAACAAGCATCCCCCCCCCAAACCTCCCCAAAACCCCCCAAAATCCCCTCCTCGCCCCCCGGGGGGGGAAAATCCCCCTTTACAACCCCAACCCGAGCCCCCGACCCCAGAACCCCCCCCCGAGGTGAAATACCCTCGGGGGGGGGGCAGAGGGACACTCACCTGTGTCCCCCCCCTCATGGGGGTGACACCGGGGGGGTCCCGTCGGGGCCGCCCCCGCGGCCGCTGCTTTATGAATGGAGCCCACGGCGCGCTCCGGGGCCCCCCCCGGCCCCGCCCCCTTTGTGACGTCACAATGCGGGGCTCCCCCCTCTTTGTGACGTCAGCGCCCCGCCCCGAGGATCTCCCCCCCCCCCCCGCCCTTTCCCACGGGCAGCGCCGCCTGGCGGGGGAGGGGGAGTGGGATCGGGGGTGGGGGGGGATTTTGGGGTGAAAAATAGGGGAAAAATTAAAATCGGGGTGGGCGGAGACGATTTGAAGAAAATTGTGTTTTTTTAATGATTTTTGCCCCCCCTTTTTTTTTTTTTTTTTTTTTTGGGGGGGGTCTGCGGGGATACCCATGGGTGCTGGCCCCCATTGAGCCCCCAAATCCCGGCCCCTTCCCCAGGGGTGACACCCTTGGCCCGGCGGTTTGGGGTTTTCTTCCTCCCACCGGAGTCTTCATCACTGCTGGCCCTGGGGGCTTTGGTAACCCCCCCCCCCGGGGGGGGGTCCCCATCCTTGCCCTGTCCCAAGGAGGAACCCATGACCATGATAGGTGGTAGAGTCCCTATAGGGCACAGCAGGGAGTTTTGGGGTCCTCGGTGGGCAACGGGGACCGAGAGGTTACAAAACCCCATAGGAAATGTGGAGAGGGGCAGAAAAAAAAAAATATTTTTTCCATTTCCCTCCATTATTCCCCCCCCCCAAACCCCCAGTGTGTCCCCATAGCGTCCCCAGCACATTTATGGGGTCCAGCAGTGATTTGGGGAAACTTTCACCCACATCCCAGCAGCTTCTCAGCATCCGAATCCCCCATTCTTGGGGGAAAAACCTACTCTGAACCCCAAAATCGCCTTTTCTGCCCCCATTGTGCGCTCCAGCTCCTCTTCCCATTTCTGCGCCCCCCCCCCCCCAATAAATAGGGCTATTTCTATATATATATATATATATATTTAAAACAAACGAACAAACAAACAGAGCTATCTGGGTGCTGGCGATGGAGCGAGCGGGTTAGCGGGAGGCCCTGGGGGGGCCACACAGTCCCTGGGGCGGTCCCGGAATAAGTGGGGAGGGGGTCACCGCCGTGCAGCAACCCCCCCCATTTTATTTTATTTTATTTTATTTTTTTAACCCCCCCCCCCAAAGCAGGCACACACAAAACCGGGGAGAACGAGGCAGGGCGACGCTGTCCTCCTGCCATCCATCCCCCGGGGATGCTCGTTAAAGGCTTCGTTAGCTCCTTCCCAAGCAACGAGGTGCCCCCCCCCAAAAAAAAATAAAGCAGCGCCCCGTGGTGGGGGGAGGCAGCTGGGGGGGGGTCCATCCATCCATCCATTCCCCCCCCAACCACCAGAGCACACAGAGAGCAGCCGGGCTGGAGAGATGAGACGTGCTGGGGCTAGGGGAGGTGGTCCTTGAGAAGAGGAAGGTGGGGGGGGGGGTGGTCCTTTGGGTGGGCGATTTGGGAGGAGGGGGGGGGTCCCCAGGGTGGGTGGCTGGGTGGCGGGGGGGGGGGTCGCCAGCCCCTCACACCCGCCAGAGGAGGAGGTGGTTGGTGCTGTCGTCGCGGCCCACGGTCTCGCTGCTGCTGGTCAGGCGGAAATCCTCGTAGCCGTCGCCGCCGCTGATCACCAGCATTTTGGCTTTGGGCAGGGCCAGGCTGGGGGCGCGGGGGCGAGCGGGGTCCCCCCGGGGTTCGGAGTCGCTCGGCTGCTCGGGGCCTGGGGTGGGAGAGGGGAGGGGGGATGGAGTAGGTGGGAGGGGGGCTTCTGGTGGTAATTAGCCCCTCCTGCCTCCCAATTAGCCCCTCCTATCTCATCTAGCCCCTCCCACTGCAGTTAGACACGCCCGCTTTGATTAGCCCCTCCCCCCCAATTAGCCCCTCCCGCCCCAATTAGCCCCTCCCACCCCAATTAGCACCTCCCACTCCAAATAGCTACCCTGGCCCCAATTAGCCCCTCCCACCCCAATTAGCCCCTCCCACTCCAATTAGCCCCTCCCACCCCCCAATTAGCACCATCCATTTCCATTTAGCCCCCCCCACCCCAAATAGCTCCCCACCCCAATTATCCCCTCCCACCTCAATTATCCCCTCCCACTCCCATGTAGCTCCTCCCACCCCAAATAGCCCCTCCTACCCCAATTACCACCATCCATTTCCATGTAGCCCCTCCCACCCAAGTAGCCCCTCCCACTCCAATTAGACCCTCCCACCACATGTAGCCCCTCCCACCCCAATTAGCGCCACCCATTTCCATTTAGCCCTTCCCACCCCAAATAGCTACCCCCACCCCAATTGTCCCCTTCCACCCCAATTGCCCCTCCCACCCCAATTAGCCCCTCCCACCCCCAATTAGCCCCTCCCACTTCAATGTAGCTCCTCCCACTCCCATGTAGCCCCTCCCACTGCCATATAGCCCCTCCCACCCCAAATAGCTACCCCCCACCCCAATTGTCCCTCCCACCCCAATTAGCCCCTCCCAATTAGTGCCACCCATTTCCATGTAGCCCCCCCCACCCCAAATAGCTCCCCACCCCAATTATCCCCTCCCACTCCTTTAAGCCCCACCCACCTCCTTAGCCCCGCCCACTCCCTTTAGCCCCCCCCCTTTACCCCCACACTTACCCAAAGCCCCACCCACCCCCATAGCCTCACCCAACCCCTCTGGACCCTCCCACCCTGTTAAGCCCCTCCCACCCCCTTTAGCCCCACCCATCCCTTTAGCCCCTCCTACCCAATTAAACCCCTCCCACCCCCATTAAGCCCCACCCACTTCATTTACCCCCTCCCACCCCTTTAGCCCCACCCACCCTTTAACCCCTCCCACTCCATTAATCCCCTCCCACCCCTTTACCCCCATCCACCCCCTTTGCCCCTCCCACCACCCCTTAACCCCACCCACCCTTTAACCCCACCCACCCTTTAACCCCACCCACCCCATTAACCCCACCCACCCTTTACCCCCTCCCACCCCATTAACCCCTCCCACCCCATTAACCCACCCACTCCATTAACCCCACCCACCCTTTAACCCCACCCACCCCATTAACCCCTCCACCCTTAACCCCTCCCACCCTTTAACCCCACCCACCCCATTAACCCCACCCATTAACCCCACCCACCCCATTAACCCCACCAACCCCATTAACCCCACCCACTCCATTAACCCCACCCACCCTTTAACCCCTCCCACCCCATTAACCCCACCCACCCCATTAACCCCACCCACCCCATTAAGCCCCACCCACCCTTTAACCCCTCCCACCCCATTAAGCCCCACCCACCCCGTTAACCCCTTTAACCCCTTTACCCCCACCCACCCCATTAACCCCTCCCACCCCATTAACCCCACCCACCCTTTACCCCCCCCCCTTTAACCCCACCCACCCTTTACCCCCACCCACCCTTTAACCCCACCCACCCCCTTTAACCCCACCCCCCTTTAACCCCTCCCACCCTTTACCCCCACCCACCCCATTAACCCCACCCACCCCATTAACCCCACCCCATTAACCCCACCCCATTAACCCCACCCACCCCATTAACCCCACCCACCCCATTAACCCCTCCCACCCTTTATCCCCTCCTACCCTCCTGCCCGGGCAGCGGGAAGAGGAGGTCGAAGCCGTCGGGCAAGGGGATGGCGGCCAAGAAGCGGACGTGCCCCGTATGGCCCTGAGCCAACCCCACAAGCACCGGGGCCGCCTTGGCCGGCAGCGCCAGCGTCAGCACCACGCCGGCGCTCGTCCCGATCCACAGCAGCTCCTTGCAGGCCAGCAGCGCCGTGATGCGCAGGCACGCCGCCTTGTGCTGCCGGATGATGGCATCCGAACCTGCGGGCGGGATGCGCCGTCAGCGTTGTCCCCCCCTCCCCCCAAAAAAAAACTCAGCCCGCCCCGCGCAACCCCTGTTTGGCAGCTCCCTGCGTGGTTTTGCATGGGATTTTGCAGTTGTTGCATGGTTTCTGCAAGGCATTTTGCAGCACTCGCTCTATTTCCATACAGGGTTTGCAGATATCCAGGTGTGGTGCATTGCTGCATGGCATTGGGCAGCTCCCTGCCTGGTTTTGCATGGCATTTTGCAGTTGTTGCATGGTTTCTGCATGGCATTTTGCAGCACCCGCTCTATTGCTGCACAGGGTTTGCAGATACCCAGGGGTGGTGCATTGCTGCATAGGATTATGGAGCTGCCCAGCTGGTTTTGCATGGCATTTTGCAGCATCCGCTCTTTTTGCAGCCATCCAGGTGTGGTGCATAGCTGCATGGCATTTTGCAGCTCCCTGCCTTGTTTTGCAGGGCATTTTGCAGTTGCTGCATGATTTCTGCAAGATATTTTGCAGCACCTGCTCTATTTCTGTACGGGGTTTGTAGATATCCTGGGGTGGTGCATTGCTGCATAACATTTTGCAGCACCCACTCTATTTCTGCACAGCATTTTGCAGCTGCTGCCTGCTTTCTGCAAGGCATTTTGCAGCACCCGCTCTGCTTCTGCATGGGGTTTGCAGCCATCCAGGTGTGGTGCGTTGCTGCACGGCATTGGGCAACTCCCTGCCTGGTTTTGCATGGCATTTTGCAGTTGCTGCATGATTTCCGCACAGCATTTTGCAGCACCTGCTCTACTTCTGCATGGGGTTTGCAGATACTCAGGTGTGGTGCATTGCTGCATGGAATTTTGCAGCTGCCCGCCTGGTTTTGCATGGCATTTTGCAGCACTCGCTCTTTCTGCATGGCATTTTACAGCTGTCCATGTGTGGTGCATTGCTGCATGGCATTTGGCAGCTCCCTACCTGCTTTTGCATGGCATTTTGCATCTGCTGCCTGCTTTCTGCAATGCATTTTGCAGCACCCGCTCTGTTTCTGCACAGGGTTTGCAGATACCCAGGGGTGGTGCATTGCTGCATGGGATAATGCATCTGCCCGCCTGCTTTTGCATTGCATTTTGCAGCACCCGCTCTTTCTGCATGACATTTTACAGCTGTCCAGGCGTGGTGCATTGCTGCATGGAGTTGGGCAGCTCCCTGCCTGGTTTTGCATGGCATTTTGCATTTGTTGCATGGTTTCTGCACGGCATTTTGCAGCACCCGCTTTATTTCTGCATAGGGTTTGCAGATACTCAGGGGTGGTGCATTACTGCATAGGATTTTGCAGCACCCACTCTATTTCTGCATGGCATTTTGCAGCTGCTTTCTGCTTTCTGCATTTTGCAGCATCCCCTCAATCTCTGCGTGGCATGTTGCAGCACCCACTCTGCTTCTGCATGGGGTTTGCAGCCATCCTGGTGTGGTGCATTGCTGCATGGCATTTTGCAGCTCCCTGCCTGGTTTTGCATGGGGTTTTCCAGTTGTTGCATGATTTCTGCACGGCATTCTGCAGCATCCACTCTATCTCTGCATGGCATTTTGCAGCACCTGCTATTTCTGCATGGCATTTTGCACCTGCTTTCTGATTTTTGCATAGCATTTTGCAGCATCCTATCTCTCTCTGCATGCCATTTAGTGACCATCCAGGTGTTGTGCTATTGCTGCATGACATTTTGTAGCTGCCTGTCTGGTTTTGCATGGCATTTTGCAGCAGCTGATGATTTCTTCATGGCATTTCCTAGCACCCACTCTATTTCTTCATGGCATTTTTCAGCTGCTTTCTACTTTCTGCATTTTGCAGCATCCCCTCTATCTCTGCATGGCACATTGCAGCACTCGCTCTACTTCTGCATGGTGTTTGCAGCATTCCTGCATGGCATTTGGCAGCTCCCTACCTGGTTTTGCATGGCTTTTTGCAGCAGCTGCATGTTTTCTGCATGACATTTCCCAGCACCCACTGTATTTCTGCACAGCATTTTACAGCTACTGCATGATTTCTGCACGGCATTTTGCAGCACCCACTCTATTTCTGCACGGGGTTTGCAGACACCCAGGTGTGGTGCTATTGCTGCATGGGATTATGGAGCCACCTGCCTGGTTTACACATGGCATTTTGGAGCTGCTGCTTGATTTCTGTGCAGCATTTTGCAGCAACTGCTTGATTTCTGCACGGCATTTTGCAGCTACTGCATGATTTCTGCATGGCATTTCGCCGCACCCACTCTATTTCTGCATCGTGTTTTACAGCAACTGCTATTTCTGCATGGCATTTCACAGCACCCACTCTATTTCTGCATGACATTTTGCAGCCACCCAGGTGTTGTGCTATTGTTGCATGAGACTTTGTAGTTGCTTTCTGATTTCTGCATGGCATTTCACAGCAACTGCTATTTCTGCATGGGGTTTTGCAGCCACACAATAGGGATTGCCCTGTTCCTGCATGGGGTTTTGCAGCTACTTTGCTATTTCTCCATGGGATTTTGCAGCTGCATCCTGATTTCTGCATGGGGTTTTGAGACAGCTGTCTTATTTCTGCATGGGATCAATCATGCCACCACCCAGGCGTTCCGCTATTGCTTTTTAGGATTTTTTATCTGCTACCCTATTTTTTCTTTGGAACCTTGCAGCAACTGCTTTATTTCTGCATGGGGTTTTGCAGCTACCCAGGAATCGCCCTATTTCCACTTGGAGTTTTGCTACCATTACGCTATTCTGCATGGGATTTTGGAGCTGCATCCTCATTCTGAGGATTTTTGCAGCTGCCTTGGGGTTGCCCTATCTGTGCTTAGGATGCTTTTGCATCCTTATTCCTGCGTGGGATTTTGCAGCTGCCCAGGGGCTGCAAAATGCAGAAGCTGAACTCATTGGGTTCGATCCTTGAATGCTGGCTGAGGATATTGATGCATTTTGCAGCAGCGGATGCTGCGGGGAGGAGCGCGTTTTTAAGAGAGGCGATGCGCACGGAACAGAAAATGGGAAAACACCTGGAAACGGTAATTTTGGGGTCTTACCAGCCAGCATCTTGTGCACGGGGGGGGTGACATCTGCCTCGGCCAGCTGCTCGTAGCTGGTGGCGTGGTAGAGGCGCACCTGGGCGCTGCCCTGCAGCGCGACCCAGACGCCGGGCCCCGCGCTCACCATGCAGGTCACGCTGCGACCGCTGTCCTGCCCCACGTGGAGCGTGTGCTGTGGGGGACAGAGCCACACCGATGCCACCCGGAGCCTCTGGGGACCGTCCCCAGCTCCCCCTGGCTCGGGGTGTGGTGCTTGTCCTACCTCCTGCACCAGCGTGGCCGTGTTGAGGACGATGACCCGGTTCTGGCAGCCGCACCACAGCTTCCCCGCCACCGCCACCATCTTCGTGATGGGGCTCCCCGGGGAGCCCAGGGACAGGGATTTGGAGTTTTGGGGGTCCCAGAAGCGACCTGTGAGGACAGTGGGAAATGGGGAGGGTTTATAAAGCACCAAATCCCCAGCTTGAGCTGGTTAGGGGGGATGCTGATGGATCCCCCTTTATAGGGCAGGTGGTGTCCATGGGGGGACACAGTTGGCAGGGCCCATGTGCTGTGAATTTGGGGTTGTCCGTTCAGCATTCCTTGAGGGATAGCCCTCCCTGGGGACACAGAGGAGCTGCAGGAACCCAGAGCATCCCCTGCTGGGACCCGACGACCCCAAATCCAGCCTCACCTGCCTCCCGCTGGTACGCAATGAGCTCCCCGTTGGCCAAGGACACAAAAACTTGGTTATCGAGGTATCTGTGGGAAGAGACCAGCTTTGAGAGATGCTGCCGGACCGCCCCAAACCCATCCCGGGGGGCCAAAAAGCCTCCTGCCCTCTTACAAGATGCACATGACGGAGGCGGCGTGCTGCATCTTCATGCTGTTCTTCCTGTTGCGGATGTTATCCGAGGACTGGTACACGTGGATGCTGCGGAGACGAGGCAGAAAGACGGCGTTGAGGCTCCCCTAAAACCCGGGGGAGCCTCAATCGAGGTCCCTCCTCGCCGGGCACGCACCAGCCGTCCTCGGTGCCCAACCACATGGAGCTCTGGTAGGCTTCGGGGTCGAGGCTCAGCAGGTCCTCGAGGCTGCCCCGGGTGAAGGAGCCGCGGCTGGAGCGCCGCAGGGCTCGGCCGTCCGTGGGGCTCTCGCCGTGCCGGCTCTGCCCAAAAGTGGTGGCGAGGGGGAGGAAACCGGGCTCCTGCTCCTCCTCCGAGCTCGTCGTCTCCGCCGCCGCCTCCTTGCAGCTCGGGATTTCCTCGTCTGGAAGGGGTGAGGAGGAAGGTTGGGTGGTGAACACCCAGCGATGGCCATGGGGATGGGGAGGAGAGCACGGGACGTTGCGCCCCGGGCTGTTGTGGCGGTGTGGGGAAGGAGGGATGGATGCTGACCCCAAAACACACCAGAATTTACCCCAAACGGGGGACAAGCTGCTGCCCCAACAGCATCACAGGCTCCAAATTAGGACATCCCTATCTCTTTTCCCAGGGCTTCTTCAGCTTAAAAGGCAAAAGGAACCCCTTTTTTTTGCGATGTGCAACAAACTCGAGGCAGAGTGGGGACCGACTGCTGGGACAATCAGCGCTGCCCATCGTTTTGGGGCAAAACAATGCATTTTCCTTAATTAGGGGCCAACGGGGGCAACTCACTGCCGAAGCTGGAGGAGATGGTGGAGTGGCTGGCCTGGCTCTGCAGCGTGCCCGAGGGGCTGGGCGAGGACTCGTCGTCCGTGTCGTCGCTGTCGAAGGGCACCAGCTCCCTGTGGGCGCTGTCGACGGGCTCGGAGAGCTCCAACGACGAGCCCGAGATGGAGATGTGCAGGCACTGCTGCGGCCCCGCGTCCTCCAACTGCGCCGGGGCCGGCTCCGAGGACGGGCTGGCCACGGGCTCGGCGCGTTCCCTGCCGCGGGGACAGCCGCAGCTCCAGCACCGGGACGTGGTGACGCCGGTGCCGAGGGCGCACGGTGCCGGTGCCGTACCTGTAGGCTCGTTTGAGGCCGGGCACGGAGGCGATGCAGAGGATCCTGGCCGAGCAGACGGCGATGCACGCCTCGACGGTGGGCTCCTTGCGGATGCTGAGCAGGCAGACCTGCCCCACGTAGCCGTCGCTGTTGCACACCCAGACCTCGTGGGCGTTTCTCGGGCTGCTGTGGCTGGGAGAAGCACAAGAAAACTGCAAGGGGGCAAAAGACAAGGAGAGGTCACTTGGGAAAGGCAGCAGCAAGGCGGCGGCAAGCTGGCATCCCGATAATCAAGGGGGATGCTTAAATAAAACCCTCCCGGGGAGGTCCGGGAGGGGCAGGAGGACCAACCTGCATCCCGCTCCTCGTCTTCATGATGGGGATGGCCTTGAGGAACTCCGGGTCCAGGCAGTTTTTGCTGGAAGCTGGGAAAATAAGGTGAGAAGGAGGTGGTTCTGCCAACGTCGGGCATGGTGCTGAGCCCATTTGGGCGTCCCACCCCGCGTCCCGGCCTTACCCAGCTTCTTCTTGGCGTCCTCGAAGGCTTGCTCGAAACCGAGCCGCGCGTCGGGGTTGGGGAACTCGAAGATGAAGGACTCGGTGCCGTCGGCCTTGGCGGCGCTGAGCTCCACTTTGTTGGGGGGGAAGGCCATGCTGAAGGACAGGGACTGCTTCTCCGCCAGCTCCCGGTGGATGGCGGCCATCAGGTCCTTGATCACGTCGTCCAGGCTCTGGGCAGGGGGACGATGGCATCAGGATCCAGCGGGGACACCCCAGCCGTGCGCCCACGTTGCATCTTGAGCATCCTCTGCAGGGCTGGTGGCAGCTGGGCCCTTTGACCACGGCCACCAGCCCTCCTAAGGTCTTTTGACCACAGCCACCAGCCCTACCAAGGTCCATTGACCATGGCCACCAGTCCTTCCAAGTTCCTTTGACCATGGCCACCAGCCCTCTCAAGGTCCTTAGACCAGTCAAGGTCCATTGACCATGGCCACCAGCCCTACCAAGGTCCTTTGACCATGACAACAGCCCTACCAAAATCCATTGACCATGGCCACCAACCTTCCCAAGGTCCTTTGACCAGTCAAGGTCCTTTGACCACAGCCACCAGCCCTCCCAAGGTCCACTGACCATGGCCACCAGCCCTCCCAAAGTCCTTTGACCACAGTCAAGATGCTTTGACCATGGACACCAGCCCTCCCAAGTTCCATTGACCATGGCCAACAGGCCTCCCAAGGTTCTTTGACCACAATCAAGGTCCTTTGACCATGACAATAGCCCTCCCAAAATCCATTGACCATGGCCACCAGCCCTCCCAAAGTCCTTTGACCACAGTCAAGGTCCTTTGACCATGGCCACCAGCCCTACCAAGGTCCTTTGACCACAACAACAGCCCTCCCAAGGTCCTTTGACCACAGTCAAGGTCCTTTGACCATGGCCACCAGCCCTCCTAAGGTCTTTTGACCACAGCCACCAGCCCTACCAAGGTCCATTGACCATGGCCACCAGTCCTTCCAAGTTCCTTTGACCATGGCCACCAGCCCTCCCAAGGTCCTTTGACCACAGTCAAGATGCTTTGACCACAGCCACCAGCCCTCCCAAGGTCCATTGACCATGGTCGACAGTCCCAGGGGACATCCCAGTGGGTCCCATGGGGGACACCACCACCGTGGTGCTGTCCCCGTACCTGGTGGGGGAAGCTGAGGGTCTCCGACAGCTTGCTGACTTGCCCCAGCGTGTTGAGGTCCTCGTCCAGGCGGCTGATGCTCTTCTGGATGCTCTCCCTGTTGGTGGCTTGCGAGGCACCTGCATGGGGACATGGCCACACGGCATTAACCCCTTCCTCCCCAGCACCCCACACGGAGCCTTGTCCCCAAATTCTTTTAGCCGGAGCGGTGCCACCTCCAGCTATGGGATCCCTTGAGCCCATCACCCTCAGCTGGGGATGAGCAATGGGTTTTGGGGTGTGGGGATGACAGCAGGCAGTGACAGACCTTTGACGATGTCCACGTCCTCCAGCGGCAAGCTTCCAGAGCAGCTTGTACTTGCTGGCGGTGTCGATGACGCTGGCCGCCGTGTACCTGCGGGGCAGGGGCTGGCTGAGCCTCGCCTGCGCCCGGGCACCATCCCCAGCACCCTAAAACCATCCCAGCCCACCAGGGAAACCCCGAGGAGGTGGGATAACCCCAGAGAGCTGCGATGGGAGAGGGTAACCGGCTGGGTGTGCCCCCGGCCACGGGGCGCCGGGGTGTCCCCCGCGCCCGGCGGCACTCACAGGCTCATGGAGCTGCGGCGGAGGGAGCCTGACTTGCGCTTCAGCGTGGTGCACACCAGCAGGTCCGTGAAGAGGAAGAGCGAGCGGTCCTTCTTCCCACCCACCGCCTTCTGCAGGAGTGCAGGAGACACGAGGGTGAACGCTGGTGGCACCCACCCCTGCCTAAGTTTCCCCAAATGGTGCTCAAAGGAACCCATGGGATGCCAGGACCTCTGGGGTCCCCACCTTCAGCCCCACTGTCCATCCCTGAACCCAGGCTGCTGCAGGTTGTCCCTGTCCCAAGCCCATCTCATCTTTCCCCATGTAGTTCGGGAGTTTTATGTCATCTCCTTCCATACCTCCCTCCATCCATGTGTGCGTCCATCATCTGTCATCCATCCATCCATCCATCCATCCATCCATCCATCCATCCATCCATCCATCCATCCATCCATCCATCTCCATCCTTATCCATCTCCATCCATTTCCATCCATTTCCATCCATCCATCCATCCATCCATCCATCCATCCATCCATCCATCCATCCATCCATCTCCATCCTTATCCATCTCCATCCATTTCCATCCATTTCCATCCATCCATCCATCCATCCATCCATCCATCCATCCATCCATCCATCTCCATCCTTATCCCTCTCCATCCATTTCCATCCATCCATCCATCCATCCATCCATCCATCCATCCATCCATCCATCCATCCATCCATCCATCCATCCTTCACCCATTTCCATCCTTATCCATCTCCACCCACCCACCCATGGCTCCCCACGCACACTCAGCCCACGATCCCAGCCACCCCCTGCCCCGTTTGGTGCTCAGCACCACTCTGCTGCCCGGGCGGACACGCTGTGGGGACAAGGGACATGATGCCACCCCGCTCTTACCACTTCCACCACCATCTCCTGGCGCAGAAACCTGCGGAGCGGGGCCTGGAGCTGTGGGGATGAGGAGGTTCATGAGTGGCTTCATCCCTGCCCCTGCACCCCCCTGGCACCGAGCCGTCACCCTGTCCCCTTCCCAAACCTCCCGGCAAGTGAGGATGAGGAAAGCAGGATCTGGACGAGAAAACAAGTGGCCCAACCTCGTTCAACCCATAAAGAGCAAAAATGGCTCATTTTGGGGCAAAAGGAAAGACCCACCCCCCTGGCGTTTGGTGCTGGGTGTAGGTGCAGCACCCTTGGGTGCAGCAGGGCTGCAGAAAGGCTCGGCCAGGCTGGGTGTCCCCAATTCCCCGCAGCTGGCACCCCCATCACCCTCGCCCACGGCCACCCAGGACCCCACACCGAGCCCCCCCATCCGTACGTCCTCCATCCCTTCGATGTGGGACTCGATCTCCTGCACGATGCGGGCGTTCCTCTCCACCTCCTCGGCGCTCTTCATCCCCTTGTTGATCCTCTCGGCTACCTGCTTGATGTTGCGCTGGGCGTCGATGAGGAAGGGGTGGTCGGGGTGGTCCTCGGGGGTGTGCTTCAGCAGGTCCTGATGTGGGGACACCGCCGGGATGTCACCGCGGTGCCACCCCCTCGCCGAGCCCCCCCACCCAGCCACGGCGGTCTGGGGGCGCACCGAGCTGTGGATTTCGTGTCGAGGGAGGAAGAAAGGGCTGGGAGGGACGGGACGGCCCTAAAAGCTGCCCTTAACGAGGAGGGGGGGATGAGCCATGGTCTCACCCGCTCCCAGGACGGCACGGACCCCGTCCCGGCGCCGCTCCTCCTACCTTCACCAGCAGCTCGTACCGCGGGATCCTCTGCACGGGCTTGATCATCAGGTCGGACAGAGCCTGCTTCTCCTTGTTCTCCCGCATGCTTTGCTGCAAAAACAAGCAAAAAAAAAAAAATCAGTGGGGACAAGGACGGGCCCGTTAGGTGGGACACACGCTGTGACACCAGCCTTGGACCTGCAGCAACAACACTTTGGGGTCTTGGGCACTCCTTTTGACACCCTCCGGAGTGATGCTGGCTCACCCCAGACCACGCTCCCCACAACAAAAGAGGCTGGAAAAATCCCAGTTTGGCCATGGATCACCAGTTTAATCCCAATAACCCTGACTCTGCTCCACCAGTGGCCCCCACACCCACCTCCAGGAACTTGATGAACGCCGGCCGTGCCTCCTTGGCGATCCGGACGGCGTCCTTGGCGTTGAGGAAGTTATCGATGTAGGCGGAGTAGATGTTCACCAGCACGTCCTTGGAGAACTGGGGAGGAGGGGGGAAAAAAAAGAGGCAAAAAAAGGGGCTCGGCACGGGGTTCCCCCACACCTCTGGGCACGTTTGGGGCCGGAGGAGTTGTCCCAAGGGTTAACGGCGCCCGTGTGGGATCTGCCCAGGCTCAGCTCCCCGCCTCGATGCCTGAGCCCTGACATTGCTGCTCGAGGCAGAAACGCCGAGCTGCAGAGCCCCCGTTAAGCTAAAGCAGACCGAGGGCCTGGAGATCGTCTCTCCCCATCCCCGACGTGGTTTGCCCGTCCTTCCGTCATCCCCCTGCTCCCCGCTCCCGGGATTTTTCCCTGCCAAAAGCAAAGCCTGGGCGCAGGGGGGAGCTTCGGGATGGACCCTTCCCATCCCCACCCCGCTAGGGGATGGGGTCGGGCCCTACCGACTGCACCAGGAGGTCGCCCACTTTCTGCTTCTCGTGCCAGTTCTGCACGCAGTCGTGGATCTGCTCCAGGAACTGCTCGTGGTGCTCCAGCAGCTCGGGGATCTGGTCGAAGATCTCGTCCACCAGGGACGGGTCGCACAGCAGCGAGTTCTCCGGCTGCTTCAGCGGCTTCATGTAACCCTGCGGGGAAGGGTCAGCGCTGGGGCACCCACAGATTTTTTGTTTCCACCTCCCCAGGATTCATTGTTCAACCCATTTAAGCACCGGGAACCACAGCATCCTGCAGCAGGAGGGTCCCTGGGGAGCCCAGCCAAGGTTTGGGATGCCAGAGGAGGCATCAACCCTGGGTCCTGCACGACTTTGGGGACCCATCAGAAGGATTAGACCAGCAGTTTGGGCACCCCACTTCTCCTGGACCCCATCCCATCCATTGTTTCTCCATTTCAGTTATCGGGTTTGGACAAGGAACCTTCAAAGCACTTTGTCCTCTGTCCCCCAGCCATGGCCTCAACCGCCTCCAACCCTTTGCTGTCATGAATTTTGGTCCCCTCTGCATTATCCAGATGGGAAATCGGGGCAGAACAACCGAATCGGCTGGTTCTTGGTGGGATTTAGGGTGTTTGGGACCAGGAGGGGCTGAACCAGCAGGGTGGATGTGCTGGGTCAAGCTCTGGAGCACCACCTCGCCCACCAACCTCCCTTGGCAATGGCCAACAAGTGATGCTCGGGGGCAGCAGGGCTCTACAAAACCACTTTCCAAGTGGTTCCACTTTCTCAAGCCCTCCAGGACACGGGGAGCTAAGCAGCGAGGCCAGGACCCACTCGGTGCTGCTTCAGGTGCCCCCATCTGAGCCGGCGAGGGAGGAATCCCCACCAAGGATGAGGTTCCCCAGGCTGATGGTGGAAATGTCACGGAGACCCAATTTAGAAGGGTCAAATCCTTCCCAAAGCTCCAAACCCAACGGGGCCAACACCTCCAGAGGGAGCTGGGCTGGGCCAGATTTGGTCCCCGCACCCCACCCAGCATGAAACTGGGTGAGTGGGGGACCAGATGGGGAGAAGAGCACAAACAGTTCCCAGAGACCAGCACAGACACGTTCTGACCATGAAATGTGCACAGTTCCCCCAAAATAAGACCCAGACCAGGCTCCTTTTGCCCCTCCGAGCCAAAAAGAGAAGCCTTGAGGGGTCCTCTCCTCCTGCGCACCATCTGGATGGGGACTTCTTGGGAACCCCAAGCCAGGTGTTGGGATGATGCTCAGGGGTTGGAATTAGCTCAGTTAAAAAAAAAAAAGGGACCTAAAAAAGTCCCTGGCCCATGGCTGTAGGAGCTGGAGCAGAGCAGAAAATGAGGGGGGTGTCGGGGATGGGGTGGATTTGGAGACCCCCGATGCAGGACGCGCACCAGTGGGGGCCCCAGGGAGGGGGTTTTGGGGAGCGAGCATGGGAACAAGCTCAGGGACACGACACTCCCCAGGTGACAGCTGATCTGGAACAGTTACGGGGTTGATTTGGGGGTGGAGGTGACCCCACACCCCATCCCCAGCAGTGCTGCTTTCCGTATTTCTCCCACCACCGGTCCCACTGTCCCCAACACTGCCACCGGTCCCCTCCCCATCCCAACACCAAGGCTCCAAATTCAGGTCCAGGGGACGCTCAGGAGGAAGGGACAACCCCGCTGCGACACCCCCGGACGTCCCCAGTGGGGTTTTTCTCCCCGCAGTGCGCCCCGTCGAGGCGGTGCCGGGGCCACCGCGTGTCACCCGCCCGCGCCCCCTCCGCGCCCCCTCACCTGCATCAAGGTGCGCAAGGACTCCACGTAGGACTGCTCCGTGTCCAGCAGCGTCATGATGACGTGCTTCCTCATGTCCTACACGGGCGGAGAGAAACCAAATGAAATCGGGGCGATCCGAGGGGCCAGGGGGGAACCCGGCGGCTACCTCGGGGCACCGAGGCGTCCCCTCCGCTGGTGGCGCAGGGGGGGCTGTGCGAGCACGGGAGCCCGGCGCTCGTCCAGCTCCCTCTCCACCCCGATGGAGGAATCCAGGAGGATTAGGAAGTACATGACACCGAGCGCACAGACGCCTGGTTTCCTCCGCGCCCGCGTCAGGAGCTCTCACAGCCCTACATGGGTCGGTGCCGGCGGCCTCCTTCTCCCCGCGCTCGGCGCGGCCCCGCGCCGCAAATTCCTCACGGCCCCCGGGCACCCGCGCTGCTCCCGGCCGGCCCCAAAGCCCTGAACCCCAAAGAGGGGGCTCAGAGGGTGCAGCGGGGGCAGGGGGTGGGGGTCCGGGTAGCTGTAGGGCTCAGGGACCCCCCCCCAGAATGCAGCACCCATGGGGGGTGTCCCCAAGTGCCGTCCAGGCTGCAGCTCAGCCTTGGGGCAAGATGGTCCAAGGGCCCCCAGTGGGTCATGCCCCAAAAGTTTTGGGTGCAGGGATGGTCCAAAGGCCCCACGCACCAAAATTTTGGGGTGTAGGGATGGTTCAAGGACCCTGCCTGTGAGAAACCCCGAATTTTTTAGGTGCTGGGGTGCTCCAAGGACCCTTGGTGCAGAGAAACCCCAAAAGTTTTTGATGCAAACAAATCCCAAAGGCTCTGGTATGAGATGCCCCAAAAGATTTGGGTCCCAACATGCTCCAAATTCCCCACACCCCAAAAGTTTTGGGTGCTGAGGTGCTCCAAAGACCCTGGGTGTGGAGATGCTCCAACAGATCTGGGTTCAGAGATATTCAAAGGGTCCTAAACAGCAACAAAACCTTTGGGGTGTTAATGTAACCCCAAAACCCATGGGGGCAGGGACCCCCAAGAACCCTGCCAGCGGAGATGTCCCAGCCCTCTCCAGCGCCGTCCCTGTGCACCCCCAAAATTGGAGGGATTTAAGTGGGGATTTATCTCCCCTCTCCCAGCCCCAAACTGCACCCCACAGCCCCAAACTGCACCCCACAGCCGATGCCCGTTCCCTGTTCCCCACGGGGACACAGGCACCCCAAATTTCCAGGGCATCCTCCCCAGGCACCGATCCTCCCCCCCAGGCACCCAGCACCCGAGGACGGAGCCGTGCCTCAGTTTCCCCACCCGCGCTCCAGGCTGGGTTCACCCCTTCTCCACCGAGCAAGGAAGGAAAACATTATTTAGGGTCAAATATTTACGGCGATGGGCTCGATCCTGTCCTGGGATGGGCAGAAGCAGGGTGCTCAGCCCCCGACCCTGCCTCATTTTCCCCCCTGGTGATGCTCCGGGACATTTTTCCTGCGGGATCAGCGAGCTGAACATGGCTCAGCACAGCACCAGGGGTTTCAGTTTGGGGGATTTTACATCTGGGGGATGAGTCCCAACCATCCCAAAAGGGATTTTTCCAGCTCTTATGGTTGTCATCCCGGGGGGAAATTCCTGCTGGGATGAGCAGGAGCTGGGTGCAAGCCCCCATCCTGCAGGACCAGGCAGGATGCGCCCTGTGGGGTTTTGCCCTCCACCTGCTCCCGCTCCGATCCCAAAACCCCAGCCTCATCCTGCATCCCCCGGAGCTGCTCAGCACCCTCGGGGGACCACTGCCAGGGGATTTGGGGGCACCTCCCCGGCACCGCAACCCCCCCAAATCCTCATGCACATCAACGTGGGTGTGTGTGTGTGTGGGGGGGGGGTGCACTGCATCCATCCCCTATCCCCCCCTCCAGCTTTTCGGCTGGGAGCCCCCCCAAAAAGCGGGGGCGGCGGGATGAGGGATGGAGGCACGGTTGCCACGGCGATGGTGGTCCAACCCCCGGCGGCTTTCTCCCCACGCACGTGTCCCCACCGTGACGCAGCCGGAACCCCTCCCCAAAAAAAAAAACCAACCCCTCCAGCATCCCCAAAAGGACCCCTCCATCCCCAAACCCAGCCCCGTGCCGGGGCGTAGGGGCGCATAGGGGCACGGAGGGGTCCCCCCCTTTTCTTGGCAGACCCCCCCCTTTTGTTGGCATCACCTCGGGGCCCCCGCGGCCCTTCTCCGGCAGCTCCTCGGCGGCCCCCCCGAGCCCGGAGGCGGCGGCGAAGGCCGCGTCGATGCCGTCCCCGATGTCTCGCATGTCCTCCAGCGCGATGGTGAACTGCGCCAGAGTCCTCACCATCTGCAGCATGCGGGTCCCGGGGTCGGTCCGTCCCTCGCGGCCCAAAAAGGGGGGGGGGGGGAAGGCAACAAAAAAAAAAAAAAAAAAAAATCTGGCTCTACCAACCCCCCCCTCCCCAAAAAAACCCCCAACGTTTTCCCTCCCCTTCAAAAATAATAAGGGTGACGCCGCGGAAAAGCCGGAGCGCTGCGGCGCGGAGGGGAGTGAAGTGAAATGGAATAAGGAATGAAATGAAATAAGGAATGAAATGAAATAAGGAATGAAATGAAATGAATGAAATAAATGAAATGGAATAAATGAAATGGAATAAATAAATGAAATGGAATAAATAAATGGAATGGAATAAATAATTGAAATGGAATAAATGAAATAAATGAAAGGAAATAAAATGAAATAATAAATACAATGCGATACAATGCAATACAATCCAATGAAATAAATAAAGCAAAATAAAATAAAATAGAAGAGAAGAGAAGAGAGGGGTCTATTTATAGCGAGGCGATCCCGTATGAAAAAAATCAAATCATAATAATAATAATATAAAAAAAAAATGGATCCCTCCCGCGGAGAGGCTGCAGGCGGCGGGCGGCGCGTAGCGTGCGTGCGTCCGGGGGCGCGTGGCGGTGGCACGCGTGGTCCCCGGCCCCGGGTGGTGCCGAGGCACCGGTAGCAGCGGGGAGCGGGGTTGGGAGACGGGGGCTGAGCCTGGCGCTGTGGCCGTGCCCACTGGCGCACGCCAGGGAGAGATGGGGGGGGTGGGTTTGGGGATGATGCTGGGCTCCGTCGGAAGGTTTTCGTGGGGTTTCGGGGGGCGCTGGGGTTGGTTTTGGGGTTTGGCACCCCCACTTTGCTGCGTTATGGGGTTTCCATCATTTGCAAGCAGGGTTTGGGGTGCTGGGGCCCCCTCCCCAAGCGCAGCACCGATTGCAGGACCCATTTTCTTCCCTTTCCCCCCCCCCCAAAAATAAAATAATAATAACACACAACACCCTGTGGCACCCGCAGCCCCGCTCGCCAGGCGATGCAGCATCCCCGCAGCCGCTTGCAGCGCGCTCCCCTCCTGCTTCGTTAATTAAATCTAATTAGCCGCTTGCCCGTTCCCACAGCAACAGCGTGCAGCAGGGCTGCGCCCTACTGCTGCAGGCAGGAAATTTCCTCCCGGCACCGATCCCATATAGCACCGAGGGGACCCGGGGGGGGGACCGGGGTGGGTGCGTGGCAGGATGCGTGCCAGCCCTTGGGTGGCCGGGGCTAATTAATCGCGTTTGGGGTAATGAGGCTGTGCGCAAAGTAGATCCTATGGCCACTTTTGCAGCTCCCCGCTCTCGCCGTCGGCTCGTTTTGGGTGAGATCAGGGCCAGTTTGGGGCCATCTGGGTTGCAAACCTGTACCCATTCCTGTTGTAACCCCAGACACGTTGGGATTATAATCCCAGACCCCTATGGGTTGCAATCCCAGACCTATCCCACTTAAAACCCTGGACCCCTTTGGGTTGCAAACCCAGAAACATTTTGGTTGAAATCCTGGACCCATTTGGGTTGTAATCCCGGACCCATTTCATTGGCAATCCCAGACCCACTGGGGTTGCAATCCTAGACCTATTGGGATTACAATCCTAGACCTATTGGGATTACAATCCTAGACCTATTGGGATTACAATCCTAGACCTATTGGGATTACAGTCTTGGAACCATTTCAGCTGCAATCTCAAACCCATTTGGGATGCAATCCCAGATGCATTGGGATTATAATCTTGGACCCAAATGGACTGCAATCCCGGACCCACTGGGGTTGCAACCTTGGACTCACCCAGGTTGCAGTAACGGACCAGTCTGAGTTGCAACATTGGGGCCATTTTGGTTGCAGTTTGGGGTGGACGGGACCTTAAAGACCATCCCGTTCCACCCCCCCTTCCATGGGCAGTGACACCTCCCACTAAATCAGGTTGCCCAAAGCCCCATCCAACCTGGATCCATTGAGGTTGCAATCCCAGACCCATTTCAGTTACAATTTTTGACCCATTTCATTTTCAATCCCAGACCAATTGGGGTCACAATCCAGAATTCACTGGGGATGCAATCCCGGACCCACTGGGTTTGTAATCCCAGATCCATTGAGGTTGCAATCCCAGACCCGTTGGGGTTGCAATCCTAAACTACTGGGTTTGCAACCCTGGACCTGCTGGAATTGCAGTTTTGGACTCATCTGGGTTGCAATCCCAGACCCATTGGGGTTGCAATCCCAAACTCACTGGAATTACAAACCTGAACCCACTGGGGTTGCAGTCTTGGACTCATCTGGGTTGCAATCCCAGATCCATTTAGGTTACAGTCCTGGACCCATTTTAGTTGCAACCCCAGACCCATTTCATTTGCAATCTCAGAACCATTGGGGTTGCAGACTCAGACCCAGTGGGGTTGCAGTCCCAGATCCACTGGGATTCCAGTCCTGAATCCATTGGGGTTGTAATCCTGGACCCACTGGGGTTGCAATCCTGGACCTACTGGGGTTTCAATCTTGGACTCTGCTGGGTTGCAGTCCCAGATCCATTTAGGTTGCAGTCCTGGACCCATTTCATTTGCAATCCCAGCCCCAATGGGGTTGCAATCCCGGCCCCCCTGGCGTTCCAACCCCAAACCCATCAGGTTGCAACCCCAGACCCATTTCGGCTCCAATCCCCGACCCCTCATGGCTACGGCCCCATTCCCACGTGCGCTTCACCCCCATCCCTTTGCTCCCCCTGCAGCAAAACCCTCGAGCC